GTATATTTGAGTAAGTGTGTTGACATCGTGCCAACTACTGTGTTACAATAACATATTTGTAATTGTATCATTTGTCTCAATTCTTCATTACTAGAAGTTATTTATCTCACATGTTAGTTACAATTAATCATGACATCTTAGACTTGAAATGTATTGATCTCATTCGTCATACTGAAATATTACTAATAGTATATCAAAAAAGTTAGTTTCTATAATGTGCACTAATTTTGTAGACATGTTTTTATTGTAGATCACTACATCTTATGGTTTAGTATTTTCAAAACCACATACCTCCGCTGACACTAATAGCTATTTCTCGATCTTGATCTTTGCCATCTAACATTGTGTCTTTATATATCCCACTCGACTGCCCTCGGTAATATCTAATTTGCAAAACTATGCAGGCTCTCTATGCAGGTACTGTATATAAGCACTGTATGCAGACAGTAAAGTCACTTTTTTTCGACAAAGCACGATCATTCTGACTAACGTTTTGTGATTTACATTTTCTTAGTTTTTGCTTTCAATAATCGGGAATTCCTTTGTTTTGTTAAACTAGAGATATATTTTGTTGAATTTGTTTTTTCCAACACAGCTTTCGTCTATTCCTCATGTGTTATCTAGTGGTGGTCAGTATGGGGGGGGGGGGCGACTCTCCATGGAAACTGTCCGTGTGACCTGATTCAGGGTGAGATGGAGTCCTTCATGCGGCCTGGGGGTATCTCTCCGTGAGGTGCTGATTTGAATTTTTATTTTGAAACGTGATATTCTGGGGAGAATTTATACTCCCTGTTTTCTGCTCCTTCTTTCACTAAAGCTTCCTCTCATGAGGACTCATCTGATCAGTCACCTTCTGCTCTTTTTCTGCAGTTAGTTACACATGTTTGTGATGTTTTGGAGATGCAACCAGTTGATTTTGAGTCTACTTCTGCTTTGTTGTCCGATTGATCTCAAAGGGATTACTTAGTTTTACCTCATTCTCCTGATATTGCTGTGCATGCAGGGAGGTTTGCAACACAATTACATGAGGGTGTCGCTATGCCCCCCCATTTATCTGAACAACATGCCTTGGCATATCATCTTCAGGATTATATATATTTGAACACTCAAAGGTTGGATCTATGGGGTGCTAGGTACAAACTTGTTATCTCTTTTAACAGGTTGCAATTTTCACTGATTCATTTGACTCTTACTACTGTTTTAAGATACTTCTCTTCCCTTCAACTTTTGTCTGAAGCATATCACTGATCGCCTCAACAATTTGATGAAGAACTGAGCCCTTTACTGGTCTCTACTATGACATGTTTGTCCTCTTCAGGACTTACCTTGGTGTCATGGTTGGTCTGTTGCTGGGACTTGTTGAGTTGTGATGCTTTTTGGAGGGTATTCACTTACCTTCTTCTGCCCTTTGAGATTTATGAGAAGCACCTTTTCTTCTGCCTTATTTATTTGCTGGAATTCCAGAATCTTTAGAAGCCAGAGTTGATACAGCATGTTTGGCTGCTCGACTCTATTCTACTTCAACTGGTAATTCTGCAGATTCATCCCTTTGTGTCTCAAGGCCCCCCTCCTTCCACTCTTGTTCCATTGGTTCTCTTAATCGATTCTGTTCTTATTCTCGGTTGTAGTTTTGGACAGACAGTGACAGCAGCATCAGTAACTACATATTTTCACCAAATCCTGTGTGAGGATGGTTACATCTCTTTCACCATCGATCAATGGGTTCTCAGAGTGCTGGAGTTGGGATTCGAGATTCAGTTTACTTCTCCCCTCCTCTGTCCTCCCTTCCAGTCATTTTTCCTCCTCCTTCAGACCTCAGATGTACAGATCTTCGAGCCCGAGCCATTCGGGAGTTGTTTCTCAAATGAACCATTAAGAAGGTTGATCCCATTCATCCAGGATTCTATTCTCATCTCTTTCTGGAGATTAGCATCCTATCATAGATTTATCTTGACTAAATTTTTTCTTCAGCCATCTTGTTTCACCATGGAATATTTTCTTCAACTTCGATGGCACTTCTTACCAGGTTTTTGGATGACCAAGTTCGATGTTGCAGATGTCTATCTTCACATTCCCATAGCAGAATCTTTTCATCATTTTCTGCATTTTGTGCATGAGGATCAAGTGTTCCAGTTCAGAGCTCTCCCATTTGGACTTGCTTCAGCACCATATGTCTTCTGCCGAGTAGTACAGGCCTTTGCTCAGCATCTTCATATTCTGGGTCTGTGCTCACATCACTATATGAATGATTGGCTTCTTTCGGCACCAATTTATCATACTACCGAACAACATACTCAAATTCTCCTTTCCAAAGCCAGAAGAGTGGGCTTCATTATCAGGTTGGAAAAATCCCTCCTTTCAACAACTCAATACCTGATCTATCTAGGAGTGTTGTTCTCCTCTCCGACTTCAACATATGGAAGAAATTGTCAGGCTCTTGATTATATCACCTTTTCCCACTGGGCTTCTATTGAATCCCTTGTACCATTGGGTGGGGCCCATATGAGGTCTCTTCAGTAGGCACCTTGCGACCAATGGACCATGCACATCGATCAACCAGTCTCTTTGTTCGAGAATGAGATTGCAGATCTCTGGTGGTGGTTAGACAGGAACAACATGACTATCAGGGTTCAGATACCACCTCCTCGGCCAGATATCCATCTGTTCACGATTGGGGTGCTTTTCTTCAGGGTGTTTGGATAAACTCCAAATCTACCCTGCATATCAATGTTCTAGAACTTATTGCAGTACATCGAGCAATGATTCGAGGTCTTACTATCTTGATTAGGAAAATAGTCGTGATTTACTCAGACAACTCCATGGTGGTCTCTTATCTTTCTTGTCAGGGAGGTACTTGGGATCTCTGTTTCCGAACTTTGGATCTTCGGTATTGGGCTCATTCCCACAACATACATCTTTTGGACTGCCATGTACCAAGAATCATAAATTTGATTGCAGATCATCTTTCTCGACCCCATCGAATCCTTCCAACAGAATGGATGTTACATCAGAAGAATTTTCAATGGATTTGTTCTCAGTTTAGAGCATCGATGATCGACGCTTTTGCACCCCATTGGAATGCACATCTACTGCTGTTCTGGTCTCCTGTTCTTCATCCACAAGCCCTGGCGATAGATGCTTTCAGTCAAGACTGTCCACCTATTCTCTCTTACCCAGAGTCTTGTCTATGATTCATTCCATACCTTGTCAGGTTCTCTTGATTGCACCTATTTGGCCAGCTCAAGCATGGTTTTCTCTTCTACAGTTGCTTCAAGAATGTCCACCTCTTCACCTATCCTCATTGAGACAACCTCGGCCCAACATTCAACATCCCGATGTTCGACGACTAAATCTTCATGCATGGAAGTTATGGAATCCTTTGCCCGTAATAGGGGTTTAACTTCTAAAGATTCCGTTTATTTGACAAAATCCTTCTGGCAACCTACTTTGCCACTTTATCAGCAGAAATGGACTACTTATCGTCAATGGTATCTGAGAAGAACTTTCAATCCCCTTTGTCCAACTGTCTCCATGATATCACATTTTTTGACATGGATTTTTGAAAAAGGTCATACTTCCTTAGCAAATAATTTTCGATATTCTAAATATCAGAAGGTTTTTGACTCTCCTGTATTATCCCATCTCTTATGTTCTTTTCATATTTTCTGACCTAAACAACCTTTTCAACTGCCTAATTGGGACTTTAGGGTTGTTTTACATGCTATATCATGTCATCCCTTTGAACCCATGGCCTCCTGCTCATTATACCACTTTTCCCTCAAAGTTTATTTTTTATTGCTATTAGCTTCATGGATGCCGTCTTTCTGATTTATATGCCATTCATGTTCAGTGGACTCTCTATCATTCTACTTACGTTTTGCTCTATCCCGACCGCTCATTTATTCTAAAAACTCTTCCAAACATACTTACCACCGCTGTCACTAATAGCTATTTCTTTATCTCTATCATTCTACTTACGTTTTGCTATATCCTGACCGATCATTATTCCAAAAACTCTTCCAAACATACTTACCTCCGCTGTCACTAATAGCTATTTCTCGATCTTCATCTTTCCCATCTAACGTTGTGTTCACTTGCTCCAGTCTTTATATACCCCCACTCGACTGCCCTCAGCAATATCTAACTTGCAAAACTTTACGCCGGCCCTCACATGCTTTTTATGCAGGTATTGTATATAAGCACTGCATGCAGACAATAAAATAACTTTTTCAAGACTTACCTCATTCCGGTCACTAACACCGTCTCTTAGTGGGTAGGAAGGGAGGGAGAGTCAGTGGAGGTAAGTATGTTTGGAAATACATTTTTAGTTTTTGAAAATAACTTTTTGTAATAGAAAAGGAGTTCAACTATGATGTAAACTTTGTAAAATTGTTTATTATGTGTTTGTGATTTAAGATATGCTGCATTGAACTGTCTGTAGCATTTGAAGAGTATAAAAAAGCAAACATGGTTATATTGATTACCCTAGATTGCAGGTTAGCACAGTCAAAAATAACATCCTAGACTTGCTTGACAATAGAGGTTGTCCTGTACACCACACCTCAAAGAAATACACTTAATTTGCTAAAAAACATCCAGGGTCATCTTATACACTGGCAGATACGGTGATCTAAAATAGTTATTTTAAGTTAGCATATAAATGAAGTATAAATGTGACTTAAAAATTATCCAGAACAGTTAAAAGTCATATGAACTAGAGAACATACCAACATATACATGTTTAGCTCTTTCTGTCTGTACTTTATATACACTTTTATTATTTAAATCAATCCTTTAGTGGCTGACTTTTTCATAGTAAATTGATGAATTGTTTAAATCAACATTTTATTATTTATGTATTTGAGATGGATTACATTTTCATTTAGCTGTGAGTCACAGCAATAACCAGTTCACAAAAAATATATTTTAGAATATAATTTGTCTGAAACTTTTGCAAAAGCAGATATATACATTTGTTACAATGAACTGATATTTGTTTTGTTTTTTTGTAGTTTCTGTTTGAAGTACTGTGAAAATCATCCACCAATATTTAAGAGATTTGAAAATTTAGAAGAGTTGGAACCAGTTTCAAAAAAGGTAATAGTTTTTCATAAAAGAAAAAATCAAAGCATAGTTCACCATTTCTGTCACTGATGTAGCTTATTGTTTCTGTTGATATGAAGCTGTGTTGGCACATTTACTGTTTCTGTTGGTGGAAAGTAGCTGTGGTTTAGTTTGTTGTTGTTGTTAGTGCGTATCTTCTTTTGGATAGTTTAATATTTGTACTAATATATGTTGCTCTGGTATAGTTTTACTGTTTAATATTGTATAAAGTTACTCTGCCAATTACTATTTCTTTCATGGGGGTGATGCTCTGATGTAAAGTTTCTGTCATTAAGAAGCTGCTCTAGCTTAATTAACTGTTTCTGTTAGTTTGGAATATCTGTTGTGTAATTTGCTGTTTTTTCTGATATACATTGTAGAAGTGTAGTTTACTATTTCTGTTAATCAAGTTGCTTGGATATAATTTTTACTGTTTCAGTTGGCATGGAGTTGCTCTGGTGCTTAGCCACTGGAGGATTTGCTGTGATGTAGTGTACTGTATCTTTCATTGTGGAGTTGCTTTGGTGTGATTTATTCTGTATCTCAGTATGTATTGCTGTGGTTTAGTTTATTATTGCTGTCAATGTGGTGTTTCAGTTCTGATGTTGTTATTATTGGATGAATTGCATTGGAATGTTTACTGTTTCTGATGGTGGGAAGTTACTTTGTAATTCCCTATTTTTGTCATTGGAGAATAGCTCTGAGCAATTTGCTGTTTCTGTTAGTATGGAGTTGCCTTGGTGTAATTTACTGTTTCTGTTTATCAAAGGGGATTTGCTCTTGTGTTGTTTCCTATTTCATTTGGTGTAGTATTCTGCTTTTGTCATTGGAGAGTATCTCTGATGCAGTTTACTGTTTCTGCCACTATAGAGCTTCCTTGATATAACTTACTGTTTCTGTTGATCAATGAGGAGTTGCTCTTGTACAGTTTATTGTTTCTGCTAATAGGAAATAGCACTGGTGTAGTGTAGTTCACCCTTCCTGTTGTTTGGTGCTATTACAAGTTTAGTGTGTTGTCTCTGCTGGAGGAGAACCATACTGATGTAGTTTGTTCCTGTAGGTGGGAAATTATATACTTTTTTTGGTAGGTGTATCAGTGATGTGTATTTTGTTTATTAGAAGGGAATTGTATCACTTTTTTCCATGAAAGAGGGCAAAATTATTAGTTTAACTAGCTGATGCTGTTTTCTATTGAGAAATTTACTATATGGAAAATAAGTAACCAGTTGGTCCTTTAAGGTGGTCCTTTCACACCCATCCTTGGAAAAAGTAAAAATTTAAACCATTTTTATATGATGATTTTTCCAACTGTATTAAATTTGTGGTCTAAGTTGTGATAATCCAAATGCATTGCCTTGCAACTTGCACTATAATAAAAGGTCATAAGCCAAATATTTATCCAACTTATCAATTGATCCATGTCATTCTTTAAAACCCCAATAGTTAGAAATACCCAAGCATGTAAGGTTATCAGAAATTTTACCAACTTACTGATATCCTTAATCTAAATTTAAAAGAAGATAGCAAAGACCCAAGCAATGATAACTGAACTACTCCACAATTAACAAGGGCTAAATTTAACTGGAATCCATTAACCCACTCGAGACGGGTCATGGGTGAAAGGCCACGTCATCTTGTTTGTTGACTCTCATTCAAAATTTTATTGAACTACTATTTCATGAACTTATGTCAATAACTTTGATATCAAACTGTAGATTATAAATCAAATCTTAATACTATACTATTACTCAATTTCTTAATTTAAAAGTAAATATTAAAAAACACAAATAAACATTGATTTTTGTGTGTCACATGGTATGTTGAATGCATCACTGGTTCAAATTAGACGTTTGTGAAGTCAAAATATTAAGTCTATAGTTTTGTACGAATTAGAAACTCAAATT